CATTGGTATTGAAATATGTGGAGAATTTACTTAGTATGTTAAACATCTGGGCATAAGGTTCTACATGCTTGTCCTTTATCATTATTTTAATATGTATAAATTCTGTTATGGCACCATCCTTATTATTCATAATACAGATAATTCCACCCTCTTTCCCTCACTAGATGCTTATCAATTTAATTACTCTGAAGGAAACATTTTCAAGTTTTCAATTTCATCACTTTGTTTTTAGAACATTAATTTCTGTTCTGAACCTTGTTGCTTATTTTCATTTGGGATTTAATAATTACATAAGAAGTGGTATCATATCAGTGAACTGAGGGTATCCTTCTGCACGAACTGTATCCAGATGGCCTTAAGTGCTAAAGTTTCTAAGGAGAGATGGAGAAACAATGGCTCAATCATTTAAGGAAAGAAGGCTTGCTACCTCTACTCTCTCATTTGCCAGCAAAACTTTAAATTGTCACAGCCATATGTTACACTTTCACCCTGTGAAACTCATGCTGCAATGTAAATTCTATGGCAAGATATCAAGAAATGAGAGTGTGTGGACTGTTCACAGATTTTTGGAGCTCTGTCCTTAGGAACTGATCAATGAAAACCAAGATAATTCATGGGTTAATTGGTTTTGAGAGTTGATCTGGCATAAAATCCAATTTTTCTACATATCTCTGGAGTTCTCTGTTTCTTGCTACGTAGTGCTTTGCAGCACTTTGGGGCTCTGGCTTCAAGGAGAATATCTCTACACGTGGCCCCTGTATCCATTACAGGGTAGTGAGATCCTGGATTCCTGTTTCTTTATATATTACCCAGCTGTGGTATGGAGTCACTAGCAAGAGAATAGCAGTGAGGCTGGGTACCTGATGTCACCAGTGCAGAGGCCTCTGAGTGATTCCTCCTTCAGATATCCTTGCCCTATAGCCACAGCTGCAATGTGCAAGTCTCAGCATCAGTAGTGAGTTCAGCCCCAAGCAAAGGCTGCTTCAGGCTGCAGAGCAGTCAGCCTGAGAGATGGTCTGTGTGCATGTGTCAGGTCCAGACCTATCAGTCCAATCAAGGGGGCCAGAGCAACAGACATGAAAGAGCAGAACAGAGCCCCTTGCTACGTGAGTGTGGCAGAGGCCAAGGCTCCCCAGGGTCCTAGAAGACGTGGCTCAGCTGCATGGCTCAGGGAAGATCTATCTTTTCTCACATCATTGATAGTCTGAGGGCCTGTTCCGTAGTATTTTGCTTTAATCCTAGGAAGGTTTAGAACTCATCATACAGATGAGGAAGTTAAGCATAACTCACTCAGCTCTATGTCTGTTACATAATTCAACATTGAAAACCCAATAGCCCAGCTAAAATGCAAGTGGAAAAATTTACATAAGAAATTCTCTGGAGGGGCCAGGGAGATGGCTCAGTGGAATAAGTGCTTCCCTGGCAAGCGCAAGGGCCTGAGTTCAATCCCTGGTTCCGCAAAAAAATAAAAAGAAAGAAAGAAGAAAGAAAGAAAGAAAGAAAGAAAGAAAGAAAGAAAGAAAGAAAGAAAGAAAGAAAGAAAGAAAGAAATTCTCTGGAAAGACATATACAACATCAGCAATGAAGCAAATGAGGCTCAATATCAACTCACCAGGGACCAAGAGCACAGAATGACAGTGAGACATCACATGACACCCAGTAGAGGGGCTCAATAAGAAAGACCATGGAGGTGACTGAAGAAGATGGTAAGGCTATAATTTTAACAGAAAATCTTAGTGCTGTGAAGGACTCAATGCCAAGAATGATTCCACAAATGTGTTCTCTGCGAGGCACATTTTGAGCATTTTGAGGGCAGTTCAAGGCAATGTACCTTTAACAGGAAGAAATTTTCTTTTCAATTTAAAGACTTTTTCAATGTATTTGGTACAGGTTCTCACTATGCAGCTCAAACCTGCAATGATCCTCCTGTTTTCAGCATCCCTAGTGCTGGGATTGCAGGTACGTGCTCCCAGGTGTATTCTCCATGACAAGCTCAGCACACCTGGGGGCAGGGCTGGGACAAGTATGTAGGGACACGGATCTATGGAAGAAATTTTTAGTTTAAAGATTTGTCAGAAATTTTCATCAGCCCACTCAATTCCTGGTAGGAACACAAAGTCATATGGTCACTTTGCCAAATACTCTGGTTCAACTCTGGAAAGTTAAACGCAGACTTGCTGCATGGCCCAGAAATTCCTTTATGTCTTTATAGCAAGATAAGTAGGAGAAAGCACATTTACTCATGAAAGTATACATGAATAATTCACAACAGCATTATTTGCAATGGACAAAAGATGGAAACCATCGAAATATGAAGCAATTGTTAAAGTAATGAAATGAGCACACATACTCACAACATAGCGACGCATTTTGTTGATGTTCTTCCTTCATAAAAGTCATCAACTGATAAATGCTACTATGACCCTTCAAGATGGAAACATGCTAGCACTTCGTTAGCTGGGATGAAGCACAGAAGTACAAGTGAGCTCAATGATGACCCTTCAGCATGAGAAACAGCGGCAAGGGAGCTGCCTTTTTCCCTTGTTGGCTTAGCTGGAAGCTGTCAGTTCATATAAACTCTTACCTTTTCCTTCCCCACATTCTGTGGCTACCTAACTCTGGAATTTCTGGATACTTTTCTTATCAGTATTATTCTGTGTATATTCTGTGTTAATAAATGTTTTTCCCCCTAAGTGAAGCAGCACATAAGGTTCCCTGCTTCTCCAGTTCAGGGTTTGTCCAAGACCAGGCTGGTGCCCAAGGGGCTTAGAAGACACCAGCAGGCCTCACTCTAGGTCAAGCTTCAGGTAGATGCAGGCATCTGAGAAACCTCAGAGTGGACAGAGAAACATTGGACAAAGCACCCTGCTGTCCAGAAAGCGTCCCATGGCCTGAGCTCATCTGAACCCCATTACAAATGGGTCCCCGGGCCTCCACCTGAGACTACACAAGTGTGCAGGTAGATGGGGACAGGTCAGGTCTCCAGTGCCTCAGCAAACTTACTCTGTCCATCGTCCCTGGACCTGTGTCTGCTCCAAGAGGACATGGTCACTGTCCTAATCCGGTTCCTTTCAGTGTCTGCGATAGGTAGGAGGAGCAGGTTGCACACACAGCAGCCCAAAGTCCCAGCTATGGGTAAGAGGAGGGTGGAGTCCTAGTGTTGCATGCAGCTGAGCTCAATAAAAATATTATAGGCAGGAAGACAGGGCTAGGTCCTGAGAGAAACCGTGTGGAAGATAAGATGACTTTGCAACTTTGGAAGGGACAGACCCCTGCTGTGGCAGGACTTCAGGACAAGAGCAAACAATTGCAGCCACATACCTCCATAAAGATAAACATCCAGGATTGATATTCTAAATGGCTTTCTCACCTTAAGGTCCTCTGGAAGTCAATACCCAGCTCAGGTCCCCCCTTCTGTCCCTCACTCTCACAGGAACTTTCTCTCCTCCAACAAATATATTCTGCTCTTGACCTCCATTGTTCCTAAAATTCATTCTTCAGTTTTAGAGAGCGTGAAGTCAGCGCAGGAACCCTTCTGGTTGGGAGGTCCAAAGTCCTGTATCAGTCACTAGGAGCTGTGGCCTGAGCTCTGTGTGGATCTTTGGGGAGGGCTGACCTAAGTGTGGGGGTCCTGTGGGGCCTCATTTTGAATTCATCCTCAAGGCTCCTTTGCCTGAAAAGGGACCAATGTCCCCACTGTAGTGAGAGCTTCACAGTTTCCACGGCTTCATGCTGTTAGGAAGCCAGGGTCCCAGTTGTCTTTACTCCTCTGGAATTTATTCATTGTTAGGTTTCGGTAGGGACAGTAAAAGGGGTAAACCCAGGAACTTCCTACATCCTTAGCCCCACTCTTCCCCTTTTAGGAAAATTTTGTGCCAAGGTCTCCCTAAATTTCCCACTCTGCCATTCAAGTCTGCATCCTCCTGGTTCAGTCTCTTGCAATGCTGGGAAACCACAAAGGCCAACCACCCTGGATCTGGTTCTTCTGAGGCCCCTGATTTGCTTTCACTTTCACTTTCTTTCCACCGTGAATTCTTCCCTGAGCAAGGTTATATTTCCTCTTCTGCCATAAGGACATCAATATCTCCTCTGCCCTGAGGGGATCCCTGTGGGCCAGCTGGACGGGACCCTGGGCAGGAGGCAGGATCAGCAGGCCAGGGCAGCCCTACCCCTATAGCCAGAAACGCCCACAAGCCCTAAGCCACAAAAGCCCCTGATTCCCTGCAAGTCCACTGCTGATGCCTGGGGTCCTGAGAACCATCAGGTGGGGTCAAGGTTCTGGTAGGGCAGCAGGATGCAAAAAGGTGAGGCCTGGTGTGTCTGGTTGGGTGGGGACTGGCCAGGTTCTGACCCTGGGGATAGAAAGACCAGGGTACAGAAAAGTAGTGCTTGTTGCTTCAGCACAAGCTCCACTTCAGAAGCTGAGGGGCTCAGGTAGCCCTGTCCTATGGGACTGTCCTGGAGACTGCCCTACCTGCTGTCTTTCCAGCAGAAGGGCATGCCACTTCCTGCTGGATCTGGTCAAATCCCAGGCTCCGCCACCCCAGCACCCCTGCCCATCCTGTCTTTCCTGAGTCTCACCCCAGTACACAGAAGGCCCCATATCCTATAGGATAGGATCCTTTTCCCTGTGGCCTGCAAGCTTGTCCCTAATCTTTGAGAGAGGCTGTACGGGTGTCGGAAGGCAGCTAGCCCAGAAAGAAGACAGCGAGTTGGCCAGGGCTGCCCTAAGATGAAGGGTGAGGATGAGGCCACTAGGGCCAAGTAGCAGGGGCCTTCAAAGTGGGCCAAAGTGTCCACAGGCATAGTCCACTGCAAGGCACAGGATGTACAGAGTGGTGAGGGAGCAGGGAAGGGCAGAGGTGAGCACTGAAGGACAGCAGCTCTGTGCTTTGCAACACAGACCAAAGGCACAGTCTCCACTCCTTGGGACACCTAGGCATGGACAATCAGGTCAGGAGACTGACAGGCTCTTTTGCTCTTTACTTCTAGAGTGCAGCATGAACACACTGTCGGAAGCCAGTGTCACCTTTGCCATCTCTCTTTTAAAGCTTTTGGGTCAGGACGACCCTGTGCGCAATGTCTTCTTCTCTCCTGTGAGCATCTCCTCGGCCTTGGGCATGGTGCTGCTGGGGGCCAAGGGCAACACAGCGGCCCAGATAGTTCAGGTAGGATTGAATCTCCCTATCTCCTCTAACATGAGGTTCTGTGACTCTTGGTTGCTCTGAGGACTCAGGGGATCTTCTCCAAATAGTAACACAAAAAGACAAAATTTTCCTGATACTTTATTTAGGAGATGAGCTGAGGCTGGGCTGGTACTGTTGTGGGGGTTGCCTAGGACTTGGTTCCAGCACAGGACAGGTAAAGTGAAAAAAGATGCTGGAATTTATTGATTCAGAATTTGTTGAGATCGGTGTCATTTGAAGCTCAAGACCTTGAAGCTGTAATTATTCATTGCTGCATTGCTATTCAGTGAGTGGACAAGGGGAAGTTCAGGGCCAGGCTCTAGACCTCCATTCTTCTGGGGACTCGTGTGCCTGTGGGCCACAACAGGGCTCATCTCAAGGGTCCTAGCAACAGTTCCTGTCCCTAGGGCATTTTAGGTAGAGCTGGAGATCTATGCCTGAAATCAACCCCCAGGGCCAGTCTCTGCCTGCTAATCTCTGTCACTCTGTTCTTAGTTTCACCAGCAGTGCCGAGAGGACCCCTTTAGTAAGGCCAGCTGGTTTTCTACTGCGTCCTCACAGTGGAGGGCCCTTGGTGGAAGCCCAGAGGGGAAAAAATCCTTTTGATGCATCATAGCCACCTATAGGCTCTGAGTTCCTCGAGGAGAACTCTGAGGAGCCCTGAGAACAAAAACTCACTGCTCAGGTAAACTAAAGAGAGTTCACTGGAAGGCCTGGTGCCTGCCCACAATTCCAGCACTTAGGATGCTGAGGCACCAGAATGGTCATGAAATTGCCTCCAGGCTGACCTACATAGCTAGATCCAGGCTCAAAAACTAGGAAGAAAAACAAATTCCTTAAACAGGATCACTTTATGGATTAGTTGTGAACAAAGGATTTGTTTGGTAAACTGGTTGTGAGACCAGAGGAAAGTATTGAAAATTGGCAATGACTTCTCCCACAGGCACTGGCAATACACGATGAGGAGGACAGTCACGGTGGCTTCCAGTCACTTCTCACCCAAGTGCACAAGCCTGGCGCACCACATTCCCTCAGCATAGCCAACAGGCTCTTCAGTGCAGACAGCTGCCAAGTCCTCTCAGTGAGTTGAGTCTCCTCAATGGGAAAGTTGATTTCAAATTTCTGATGGCCCAGAGCCAAGGGGGCGGACCACAGGGAACTTGAGGATCTGACAGGAGGTTTGTTTTCTCTAATGACAGAGCTCTCTAAGGAAGCCTTCTATGATTTCTCATGTGAGGCTCTGTACAGTGCTTTCATTCCTCTCCCATTCTTCCGTATTCAGCATTTCCCTGCCTAAAACATGGTGTTTGGAATCTCTTAGACTCACGGTGACATCTCCTAAGAGACTTGTATGTCTCTTGAAGGCTACAAAGATCCAGTTAGTACTAGAATGCCTGGCAGCTTGCTGACCCTTCCTGCAGCTCCGTGGCCTCACCCAGCACATCTCTGCCCACAGCCATTTCAGCAGTCCTGTCTGAAGTTCTACCAAGTGGAGCTGGAGCAGCTGCCCTTTGCCAAAGATCCAGAGAGCTCCAGGAAACACATCAACGCCTGGGTGTCCACCAAGACAGGAGGTCAGCACTAGAGGTTCCTTCTGCTCTCCTCCACTCCTAAACTCATTCTCTTTGCTGGGGCCAGATCTTTCATTTCCAGGTCAGACAGTGACTTGTGGACTCCAGCATCTATGACGACTGGAGCTTTGACTCATTTGCCCCCCTGAGCTCCACTAGGGGCATTGCTATTTCTGTGAACATATGTAACAGTAGAAAATGGTACACAGTTTTCCCTTTAAAAGTCTACATTTATTTTTCTAATATTTTGCAAATCTTTGCCACTAGTGCACTCTGGAAGCAAGAATTAACAAAGATGTACTTTGTTTATGAAAAATAGCCCACAATATCCAGGGGCAGAGGGTAGACTCCAATGGGTGCAGTCTCTTCTGCAGGGTGCCCTGTCTGGAGGATCCGATAGCCTTCTCTCTTCCACCTCCTCTTTGTGCCCTTGTTCTGCTGTTCCTTACGCTGACTCCTGGCTGTCAGTGGTAGCACTATGTGTGAACAGGGAGGCACAGCCCACACACTGCAATCAACCTCTGAAGGGACTGTGATTCCCACCCAGTGCAACTTTCATTCCCTGCCTCCTGGGACTCCCACCTGTCCTTTGTTATAGCTGCTTTTCTTTTTTTTTCCATGCATAATTTTTATTTTTATTTTTTAATAATTTTATTGAGAAACAAATAACAATGAGATAGTTTTACAACAAATTACTAGCATGTTTTCAATAATTAATACATTGCATATTGTTGTCTTAGTGGTTATTCATTGTACAAGATGCAGAAATGATATTCTGTCTCAAACATTATTAGAACAAACCTCTCTATTCATTGAATTAAGAGAGTGGAGCCGTATATCTCTCCTAGCTCTTTTGAGTATACCGATACAAAATGATCATTCATTTCTATCCCACTTTTTTGGTTAGTTTTGTCAGAGAAGGGCATTCCATTGTCATTTAAATACTGTAGGTGCAGTCCTAGCCCAGGTCCGGTGAGTG